CCAGGCTGGCCTCGAACTCACAAAGATCCACCTGCCTCCTCTGGAATTAAAGGCATGCATCACCATGCCCAGCAACATTGATATTTTAAGCATTGGGAAGGACAGAGCACTAGTCAGAGGACTGCAATCTTGTTTCTGTTCTGCATGTGAATACCACCTCTATCCCATAGCCCTTTAAGGTGATGATCAAGACAAATGAATCTATGTACAAGAGGCTGCATGAATAATGACTGAATATCTGTACTGTCAAGGACTGAGCTAAGCAATTTATATTCCTTTATATGCCCCCTCACCGCCCCAAGAACTGCTTCTTTTCCCTCGTACAGATGGGGAAACTGACACTCAAATTACTGAAGTGACTTTCCCAAGGCCCCACTGACAGTAGAAGTTAGATTCAGAGTCCGACTTAGTCCCTCTCACTCCACAGCCCTGGCTCTTTTGAATCCTCTTTTCTAGCAAGATAGAATTAGTAAAGATTGGAAACTGCTAATGAAGGTTTTATGTAAGGGACAGTTTACCCTTATTTAGTGTTCCTTGCTATTTCCCACTATTCCTCTAATTTCCCACTAATCCTTTGAGGTCAGTGGTATTATTATCTCCATTTTACAGATGAGAAAGCAGAGGCTCAGAGAGATGAGACAACATGTTCACCGTCCTCATAGCTTGTGAGCAGATTCACACCCATATTGCCTAACCTGCACTCATATCCCAGGGTGCTCTTCCTCTAGTCATTTTTGATGCTCCCCTGGAAAGATCTGAGACATAAGTCACCTTCAGTGTCCTCCCTGGCGTGTTCATTTCACTAACACTCTTAGCTCCCTTACACAGGCTGATGGGACCTTTGTAAATTGTGTCCTGAACCCAGACTAGACTTCTCAGCCTCTATTCTCCCCTCAGCTGGATGTGCCCTAGACTCTCTGACCCAGTAGTAGTTCCACTGAATACCCTGTTCCCTGTGCCTTTGCAACATGCCCCATAGCCCTGGAAGGCTACATAGTCCTCCTCCTCCCTCGCCTCCTTCTTTTTTTTTTTTTTTTTTTTGAGACAGGGTCTCATGAAGTGGATCCAGGATATCCTCAAACTCACTATGTAGCTAAAGCTGGCCTTGAAGTCCTGATCCTCCTGCTTCTGCTTCCCAACTATGTCACCATGTCTGACTGCACTCTGTTCTTTATTTTAACACTCTTGGCATATTCCTAGACTTAACTTAGGATCCTTTCTCCCAGAATTCTTCCTTGAATACCATGAGGAAAATCACACCTTCCCTACACACACTGAGAATTTATATGCACATGCCATAGCACCGTTGGGACTGTATATAATCACTTTACCTGCTCCTCCCATTAGAATGTGAGCATGCTGAGGGTGGACAATGCATCCTTTATCTTTGTAGCCTGATGTTAGCAGGTCTTGAGACATTGTAGGCATCTAGTAGCATTTCACTAAATAAATATTTTGTATAGGAACTAAGAGATGAAACTCAAATACCCTCAGAGTCAAACATGTGTATTTGTAAGTAGCAATATACACACATGTACATACATATATATGCATGAGTGTATGTATACATGTATATACATATATATGTGTGTGTGTCTATTATATAGAGAGAGACAGAGAGACAGAGAGAGAGACACAGAGAGAGAGACAGAGAGAGAGAGACATAGTTACCATTTCTGGTACTTTTCATTCTTACATGCAGAACCATATTAACATCGGGTGTCATTTCCTTCTTCCTGAAGAATTTTCTCTACCATCTGTTGTAGTGTATTTGTGTATATGAATTCTTTCTGATTTATATGTCTGAAAAAGTGCTTATTTCATCTGCACTTGCTCCATATTGGACAACAAACACTGATTGAATGGCCACTATATGACAGGCACAGTTCTTGGTACGAAGCAACTTCTGCAAACACTATATCAAAGCGGTAAAACAACAGTCTCTGTCCTCGGGGGCCTCCGCTCCAGCATGCTTACTTTTTGGCCAAGAAGTGAAACTGTTTTGTGTGCTGCCTTTAATCAAAGCCCTATAATTTTCCCACTAATCCCATGAAGACAATTATTTATTAAAACATTATTTTGATTAGCTGTGCACTAATAATTGTCACGAAGACTAAATCTAGAGACCCTCATTTGCACCTTCACCTTCGTTTTCGACATGGCATTTTGCTGGGTGCCGAACTCAGAATATTTCCCTTTCAGTACGCGGAAGCCTTGCTCCCCCGTCTTCTCAATGGCCTTGTTCCTGACTAGACATCTGCTTCTGTCCTAATGCTTATCCTTCTGCCTGCAATGTGTATTTTCTTTTCTCTGACTATTTTTTAAGATTCTTCTCTTTATCATTTAAATTTACTCAGTTGTTTTGAGAAATCTGATCATGATGCACCATAGGACAGCTGTCCCTCTTGGGTTTAGGGTTTGGGACCTCTCTTGAATCTGTGGACTTGCAATTTTTATCTAACTTAAAGCTTTTTAGCTATTTTTCCTCATGTAGTTTATTTCTGTATTTCCTCCTTCTCGCCACAGACTCACCTTCTGGGAACTGTAATCATATACGTTCAGCTATTTGAAATGGTCCAGAGTTCTCCAGTGCTCTCCCCCACTTCTAACACTAGAGCTCAAGCTCAGGGCCTCATGAATGTTAGGGGAGCACTCTACCACTGAGCCATCCCCCGGTCCCTGCAGATCTGCTTGCTCTGTGAGACTTCTTCCTCTATTCATTTTGAGTAGTTTCTCTTGCGTATTCATGTTCACTGACATTTTATTCCGAAATTCCTAGTTTCTAGCTAAACCAGAGTATTTTATCTCTCAACTCGGATATTTTGTTATACTTTTCTTTCCCAGAAGTTTTGTTTGGATCTTTTTGTATTTCCTATGCCTTGACTTAATGTTTGAACATGTGAAACACAGCTACGGTATCCCTTTTTGTTAATGCCAGTTATCTGTGTCAGGTATAAGTCAGTTGTGATATGTTGATTTTCTCCTCAAATATTTTCTCCTATGGAAAATATTTTCCTGTTTGTTTTCTTGCTGGTTTCTCTGAATTTTACTTTGTTGGATTCTGTGAAGCCTGTTGAGATTTTAAAACACAGGACAGACAAACCTAATGTGTCTACGGTCAGAGTCTTCAGCCACCAATTCTGACTCCTATGTGCCCATCCTTTAAGGGAACTGTGATTTGTGTTTAGGGCATCACGTTTATGTAGTCAGGGAAATGTACCTGTACTTTCCTAAATTAATTAGTCCCCTTTATCCACAGATGATGTGCTCCAGGACCCCCCAGGAGATGCCTGAGCAATGGGTAGAACCAAGCCCTGTCTACATATACTATGATTCTTCCTACACAAGTATGCCTATGATAAAGATTAATTGATAAATTGGGCACAGTAGGACATCAATAATAGTTAACTAATAACAAAATAGAACAATTTTAACAAATAGTGAACTAAGCTGTATGAAAGTTTTCCCTCGGTCTCTCTCTCTCCTCTCTCTCTCCTCTCCCTCCCCTCTTTCTCACTTTCTCATTTTATTGTACAGTATTTTCACATGCCATTAACCATGGGTAACTGAAAGCATGGAAAGAAAAACTAAATGGAGGAACTTCTGTGATAGCCAGAATGCTCATATAGCTATTGAAATGTGACTAGTGACTCTGTAGAAAGAGTTTCAGACTTCACCTAAATGGAATCAGCCACATGTGCTTATAAAAAGTTCTTAGAAGAATCAAACAAAGACAGGCAGCTCTGAGGGTGAAGCCTTCCTGATTTCTTTTCCTTCACTCTCTGGACAAAGAGTCACAAACAGCCAGGGTAAGTATGCTTTCCTTATTTGAGGTACTCAGGCTTTCCTACCTACTTGGGAAATCTTCCAACTTCCTACTTCTTTGGGATAGGCATACTTTTTATCATTATGAGCTCTGAGACTCTTTCAACAGGAGAAAGGACCTCAGATAATGCCCAAAGCAGAGGTTTCAAACTAGCAGCAGAAAGAGGAAAGTCATCTCATAGGTAGGTTTATTTTGATTTTTGTGTTTAAATACAGTTGAGCTAGCATTTAAAAACCAAGACGCATAATGTAAAACTCATGTTTCATCTATTTTTGATAGATTTGATGGATTTTAAAATTGGGTCCACACAGCTGGAGCTAAGTAGCTGCTTGCTCTTTGAAGGGAATGTATGATATGAGATTTGCCACAATCACCACTACGCCCTATTGTTTCACCAATAATGATGCTTTGTATTAGTTACTTTTCAAATCATAACTTATTATTTTTACTTTAGTAAAAAATATTTCTCCATAGCCATTTGTATTCAAGGATGGTAAAATGAGATATAAATCAATAAGGCTTTATGTTTGCGACCTGGCCCACCTTATACATTTGTGTCTCCTGCCCGGCTCCTGTACTAGAGCAGGTGAGATCTTTGCTAGAGCAATGAAAACTGCCTGTCACAATATGCGTGCTGGGACTTCCTATTTCAGAGCCCAAGGTAGATATCACTAATTATTTATGGCTCCCTTCCTGCAATGCTCCTAACACTATACCCATAACAGCCATTCCCAAGAAATCAATATTGACAGAGAAAATGATCTTCATCTAGATCAACTCTTATTTTACTCACCAGGGACTGGAGGTCCCCAGCTCTCAACGTCACTGAATTGAAGAAGATGCTATAATGAGACCTCAGACCTCTCCACCCAGGTGTGGCACTCATAAGCCCAAGCTGTCCCATTGGAAAGACAGGAAGTGAAAACACAGTGTTGGAACTTGTCTTGGGCAAGATCATCAAACCACCGTCTGGGCAGGACCTGCTGTTTCCTTTTTCTAACATATCATGTAATTCTTCTTCCTCAGACCCTGCCCTCACCCTCTTGCTTACTACTTACTTTACCGTTTCAAATTACAGTAATATATACCTGATTCACTACCCCCAACCCCAAGCAGCTCTTTAGTCCAACCTGCTCCCCAAACTGCCACCCGTGGAGTCAGGGGGGATACTCACGGTACTCTGAGCTTGGGGAACTTCTGAATGTCATTTTCTGTCAGGTTCTGAAATGAAGACACACATGGATAAAGCTTGGCCACCTGATCTCTATATTTTTACCCAAGCTTCAGGAGCCCCCTCAATCTTGCATGGGAAGGGAGCAATTAAGGTCTAGTGTCTTCAGAGGAGCTATGACAGAGGTGTCTTGGCATCACCTGGTTCAGTCCTATGATGCAGTCTCTGAACCAGCCCTTGTCAAGCCACCAGAGGCAGAGTGAGGGAAGGTAAAGGGAGCAGCCACCCGGCAGAGGGTGGAACACAAAGACTGTGTTTAGAGTTTGGCATGATGAGTTGAAGGCATCTTGGGGTCTTCCGGAGGGATGCTCCCTGAGTATGTGGTGGCCAGCTTTCAGTGATTGAAAGACCTAAGCAGGGGGAGTTCAGAAAGAGTTTGAAGAGAAGTTGACTTGATCATGGTTGGAGACAGAGGAGAGTGCTGGAAAAGAAAGATGTTTAGGACAGGGAGAAGAACTTGGAGGGAAGATGAGAAATGTTGAAACAGGATTTGGGGAGTTTTGCTTTTAAAAACATCCAACAACGTTGGGCTACTTTATTAGAATTAGATTTGTGGGTTTGTGGGAGCATAGTTATATAGTGAATTGAGAAAAGGGGTCCAGGGAGAAGAAAACTACAAACCAGGTCCTGCTGGGGAGGCAAGGTAGCAGACATGCTGCTCACCTCCCCTTCTCCATCTTTCCTTCTTCTTTACTATAAGGGCCTGAATTCTGTTCTGGGCGAGAAATATGTTTGTGGAAAATATTTAACTCCCTAGATTCCCCTGGAGATATTAGAGTCACAAGACTCATTTATGACCGGAGAGATAAAATCTGCAGTCTACTGGATGAGGCTTCCAGAATAGTTGCTGTTTCCTTGCAGAAGGGGTAAGAGCACATTCACCAAGCAGCATGTACTTTTTACTCATTGTTCTTCCTCTTTTCCTCCTGCTAGCCATGCACAGGTGACAGCTAGAGGTTGGGTAGGCTGAATGGAGCCTACATTGAAAGATTCCTGGAGAGGCTCGCCAGGCTTGAGTGTCCACCTGTGCCTTTATTATTACTTGACAAAGACTACATGCCTTCCAAACTAACACAGTTTTCAAGTACATTCCCTCCTCTTCTTGCTACTCCTCAAAACACAGCATCTCTATTTCTACCTAGACATGGTTCTGTCCTTCTCAGTGGAAAGATACAGAGACAAATTCAGGGGACCTACTGGCTCCTGCTTTGCAAAAGGAAGGAAGAAAGAGAGAGAAAAAGAGAGGGGGTTAGGAGGTTCCACTATTACTTTCAATAATACAATGGCCCTTGATGTTACAGAGTTGGAAATGGTAATGAGTAAGTAGAGCTTAGACCTGGATTTCCAAATTGTACCCAGATACCTATGGTGGACCATGTGCTTTAGGAGAAGCCTTTAAATATCCCAGTTGCTGGGGCAGACACTGGATTCTGTTCCAGCCCCCTCCCCCCCGTCCCCGCTCTCTTTCTACTTCCCCCTGTTCACAGAGTCAAATAGGATGCATTATACTCTATGAAGGGCTGATAGGTTTCAGAGATTGAAACAGAGGCAACAGCTGCTCAGATACCATCTCTTGACCAAGGAAGCAGCTATCCTATCAAGATAGTTCAGGCCTGACAGTTACATGGGGAGTGTTGGGGGAGAAACCTGGAGCCAAGAAACGTCATCATTTCTCATTGTGCCCCTGCACAATGTGCTCAGTCAACAGAAGAGGGAGCAAAGGGTAACTTTGGGAGGGAAAATGTTGGCTCAAGATAACACAGGTCAACTAGGACCCTCCTCAGTGCTGCCCTCCCTCTGCACTCAACTGTGGTGCCCCTTTCCTTGGTGCCAATGCACTAGAATGAAATGCGTAGGCTTAGTGTAATTGCGAGATAGAAATAACTAAACTCTAGGAATCCTATTGATTCAAAGCTCAGTGATATAAATAACATTGCTGAAAACTCCTATGATAGAAGACTAAGGTAAATGCGTGCTTCAGTGTGTTTGTCACTTAGGACAAAAACCACCTCACCTCTGCACGTTTCCTCACCTGTAAATGAAGTGGTTGGAGGCCTTCATGAAGGTACCTTCCTGCTATAAAAAGCCAGCTTTGAGAAGGCAGGCATCTTAATCATTCCTTATCCTCAGCACATGGCATAATCCAGGACAGAATAGGAGCTCCAGTGGCTGGCTCCAGTGAATGGATGGGTGAATGACTGAAGGACTTAGATGGAACTGTACATAAGAATGTGTTACATGGTACCTGAGAATAAAACTCTGACTACTAGGACCATAGGTTTTATCTCAGCATAAAACTTCAGAGGTGCCCAGAAGGGCAGAAGATTGCACAGCAAGCTCACTATTACTAAAGAAATTCAAGCAGATGTTGGGGTAGGGATGCAGTATTCAGGATGGACTGGTGTGTTGGGCAGCACAAAGGAGCATGGGAATTCTCGGTTCCTTCCAACTAGCTTGAATTTTTTTTTTTTTTTTTTTTTTTTTTTTAGAAACAGGGTTTGGCTGTATAGCTCAGGTTGCCCTTGAACTTGAAATCCTCCTGTCTTGGCCTCCTAAGTGCTGAGATTACAGATATGTGCCATCATGCCCAGCAAAAAGATAAGTGAGAAGTACCTGTAGGAAGGCAATCCCAGCCTGAGGGCTCCCTTGCCTAGGTGGCCTTAGGAGCAGAGACTATGCCTTCCTACCCAACTCATAGCTCATAGTTTTTTGGGCACTTGTGTCTGGACCACAGGAGAGTCACTCAGACTTGGGCAGAAAGTAGTCATTTGAGGAAATTACCCCCCAAAGAGATATACAGGGCTCCCTGGCCTTAGGCCCTGGACTCCAGATCTCCAGACCTTTTCTCCTCTGGAGTCTTCTCTTTTGTCTTTTTGAGACAGGGTATCCCTGTAGCCCCAGCTGTCCTAGAGCTCACTATGGAGACCAGGCTGGCCTTGAATTTACAGAGATCCGCCTGCCTCTGGGATTAAAGGCGTGAGCCACCACACCCGGCTGAAATCTTATATTCAAGTTTCACTGCTGATTATGACATACGGACATACAATTTAACTTGCCATCCTCACTCTGAATCCAAATTGAGAACAGCTCCCATGAGACCTGTGAATTCTTGTGCTTCTTTTAAAATAAATAAAGTTCGCAGAAGGGATGATTTAGTAGAGTGCCAGGTCACTCTTAACACATGCAAAGGCATCATTTCTGGGAAATGTTCAGACCACCTCCCTGACAGCAAAGCACCTCTGGCTTCATCAGAACTGGGTTCTTTCCCTCTAAGAGCATGGACCTTGACATGCACCCACACCATAGGCTTACACTTAAAGCTTGTAGAATCATAACCCAGTGGGGAAATCTGCAGCACGTGCCTATTTGACATGGTCAACATGTGAATTCTGTAAGGAAGATGGAGTCGAGATAAGGAGGGTGGTTTCACCCTTATTCTTATCAGTGAGTATGCACTGTCCTGCTACCCATTTTGGGCTTCTCAAACTATGAATGGCAGTTAAATAGAATTTCAAGGAGAGAGAAAGAGAGAGAGAGAGAGAGAGAGAGAGAGAGAGAGAGAGTTTTAAACTATGTTTGAATTCCTCCATATGTGTCTTTAGAGTATATCTTTACGTCTACGACAGGGCTCCTGAAGAGGCCTACCAGCCGTCTGACTAAAGCAAAGGCCTGGTAGAGATGCTGATGACAGGCATCAACCATGGGACCAGGTAGACCTGTTGTCCCTGCAGTTGTTGGGAAAAGAACAGAATACCCTTGGTTTCAATGTATGGGACTGGCCAGAGCTTACCAAAAACCGAGCGCCATCGATGTGGTACTTCTTCACTGCCTTCTCACAGTCCCTGTAGTTCAACTGCTCAGAGAAAGAGAAGGTGCTTTCAGTGCCTGTAGGCTTCTGCTGTTCCGTCTCCTTCCTTGCCTACCCCCAAGCTTAGCAATTTGTGGTACTTGTGGCTAGCCAGCCCCTTCCCTCCCCTGTCTAACAGAGTGGCCAGGCCCCCACCTCAGCCCTCCTTTCACTACCCACCCCCTTGGGGCTGCCTGAAATGGGGAAGTCATGCAATTTACCCCTTGGAGCCAATCCCTCTGGAAAGACACTGCCTTCAAAGTCCAAGAAGGATGGCCACATGCTAGTCAGAAAAGCAGAAGAGAACTGACAGAAAAGATTAAACTCCATCTCCTGTCTTGCCCCACAAACACAATCTTGGTGAACCTTGTGATGTGCTTCCTTCGATAGTTTATTCCTTGCCTAAGCAAGATGGGGGGAACACTTTATGTTCAGTCTCGTTACAGTGACATTTCTCTTAAATTGCCTAGAACGACACTATAAACACTGCTTAGTGTTATGACGAACGTGTTTTAAAGGATGCACCTTTAAAACACTTCTATGCTGCTGAATGTTCAGGTGGTTTACTCCGCTGCCAGCCCAGCAGCAAGAGCAGCACCTGATAAAGTCAATGCTGGGTGCTCTGTGCGTGGCAGGCACTGCTCCTGCCTTAAACCAACTTTAAGTCATTTAATCCTCCAGTCTCCTGGGTGCAAAACAAGTGACACAGAAAGCTAAGTAACTTGCATGAGTGGAAGGTGACAACTGAGCTTCAGAATGTGGCTTTAATGTTTCCATGAAGAAGAGTCCTTTTCAAATAACAGCATCACTTACAAAAGGTTAGTAAACTGCAAGGCTGTAAATGCAGCTTAATGGACTGTCCACATGAAGTATAGAGCATGGTCGACATTCTTTTGAGTACTTTTTTTTTCTATTTAAGGTAAATTGTTAAGGTCAGATTCTTGTACTACAGTGAGAGGAGTAACAGAAATGAACATTTTAAAAGTCTGGGTTGTTTCTAAAAAAACAACCAATGAGTGTGTATTGTATCCACTTCACAGAGCCCTCCACAAACACTCACATTAGACTACCTTGAAGTTTGAGGTCTGGAGTGTTTAAGGTAAAATCCTCATCTTTGAGGATCTTAGAATCTTCCCACAAGTGGGGGCCTTACAGTTGGTGCAGCCTTCTTTGGAGACAAATTTGAAATCAAAATACCTTTCTAAAAATATTTATTTTAGGGACTGGAGATATGGCTCAGCGGTTAAGAACACTGGTTGTTCTTGCAGAAGACCCAGCTTCGAATACCAGCACCCACATGGCAGCTAACAACTCTCTATAACTCGAGTTCCAGGGGTTCCAACAGTGTCTTCTGTCCTCCACGGGCACTGCATGACACAGGTGCACTTACTTACAGGCAATACAAGCATACACATAATATAAAAATAATAAAGAAAATATTTTTAAAAAATTTTTAATTAATTTTATTATTTTTAAATATGTGTGTATGTATGTGCATGTGAGTTCAGGAGACTTCAGAGGCCAGAAGAGGGTGTTTAGAACCCCCTAGAGCTGGCATTACAGGGAGTTGTAAGCAACCGGACGTGGGTACTAGGAACAAAACCCGGGTCCTCTGCAAGAGCAGTGTGTGCTCTTAAATAAGTTCTTATGACCAACGAATACATAAAATTAAACAATCACATGCCTCTAATCCCAGCACTCAGGTGACTGAGACAGGAGGATCAGGATTGTTATGAGTTCAAGGCCAGCCTGGGCAACAAACAGATCTTGTCTCAAAAAAATAAAAATGCTGTCACCTCTTGGTTAAGAAGAGTGAAATAAATGTCACACTCAGAAAGCTTATTTGGAGGTCAGCATCTGCAGCAGCCTGCCTTCTCTTTGAGCCACTTGCAAGCTGTGTAGAAGCCTCTTGCAATAGTTACCATTAGTTCATCATTTCAGTCATCATCAGATGCATCTCAGGTTTTACAGAGTGCTGGCTTTGACTCTACATGGAAGCCAGAGTTTCAGCCTTACAGACTGGAGCCTGGATGATTGATCCAATCCAGTAAGATATAGGCCTGGAGGCCAAAATCTCTATTTTTTAACAAGCGCACCTAGGTGGTTCTCATTAGCATTCAAGATTGGTAGACACTCATCAAGTGGTTACCCAGCTCTGTAGATGAGGGTGACTGGGACACAGAGAGAAGGGTCTGGCCCAAGGTCACTCCATGAGGTGCAAACCCAATGGGCATTAGAACACATGGCTGTGAGTCAGTGGCTCTACTGCGAGTCCCAGGAATGCTCTCCGGCCGGGCCCAAAGGCGTTGGAGAAGTTAAAGACATGTTGACAACTGTCTTAGTCCTCACGATTTCCACCCCAGATACAAGGCAAGACACACATCTAAGGCAATGTAACACAAAGCCTCAACAGCTAGGGGGCTGTTAGTAGATCAGAAGGAAGGTTAGATGAGATATCTAACTAAATGTCTCTCAAAAATTATTTCCTTTCAACCTCACATCCACATCATTGGACTGGTTACTGTTGGTGCATCTTTCTTACTGGTTAGGAAGTTGAGGCATAGAGCAGTGAATCAATTAAAGGAAAGTAAGTCCCCAAGCTAGCAGATGGAAGAAGTACAATTCAAGTCAAGGTGTGTCTGACTCCAGAGAGGAGTAAGGTGGTCTCAGTGGCTGGAGCCCACAGTGCCTGTAGACATTTCACTTGCTCATCTATCCTTCAAATGGCTTGTTGCCCTCTCAGAACATCTTCAGGCAATCTCTTGTCGTTTCCATGAGAGTTTTATCTAGAGATGGAGGAGCTCAATGTCTGAAGGGTCTCTACTTATGTCTGGGGGCGGGGGTCTGGTACTTTCAGGATCACCCTCAGCCTCCTTGTTTCAACCTTGGTTCTTTTACTCTAAAAACAGAGACCTGTCCCTGGGCTGTGGTTTTGTACTAAGGTGAGCCCCTAGAAGAACCCCGCCCCCCACCGCCTTAACTCAGGCAGAGTGATGTCTGCTTGGCCAATCTACCATCTCCCTGTTCTAAAGGGAACTTGACCCACAGATTCTCCATGGCTCTATGGGGTTACATAATTCTCCTGGTCATGCTTGAAGATGGGGCCTGTCTGTGCTTCTCAGTCCTTCCCTAGACTTCCCTGCCTTAATTCTCAATTCCTTTCTCTTCCTCTACTGAACGAACAGACCGCTTTATTCCACTATGACAAATTTTACCTTTCTGCCCTAACTTGTTTGGTCACAATTTAAGAAAAGTATTTTTTAAATTTTATTATTTTTTTCATTGAGCCTTTTAAATTTCATACATTCCACACTCCACCCCGCCCCCCCCAATCCAGTAAACATGCTTCAAAAGTCAATTATCGGGGCTGGAGTTTTGGTTCAGAGGTAAAGAGTGCTGACTGCTATTGCAGAGGACCTGGGTTTGATTCCCAGCACCTACATGGTGGTTAACAACCATCCACAACTCCAGTTCCAGGGAAATTTGACACCATCTTCTGACTTCCGTGGGCATTGCATGACATGGGCGCATTTATAAACAGGCAAGCAATACACTCATATGCATAAAACAAAAAACAATGCATATTTTTTTAATTCAATTGTCTAATATCCTTTCCACCCACAATGTTGAAATATAAGTTTATAATAACCTTGTGGTGGTAGTGAGGGGAGTAACCAAAATGAGATCCATAAAAAGTGACAAATAACAGGATCTGTGGGCAGTACCCCTACCATGCCACACCCAGTACAATATGTTCAGGTTTTCTTGTATAGGTTGAAAAGGAACCACGGTAAAGATTGAAGGTTTGACTGTATGCCCCAATGAGACTATTCTATCTCCTTGAATCTCAAGTGTTTCAGGAAAAGGAGGTGAATGAGATGACATTTATATGGTCTTAACTTTATGATAGTTTGGAATATCAGTGGAATTTGATTCCAGTTTTTATGGATGGGGACACTGGAAATTCAAATGTCTCTCATAAGACATCTCTACACTTAAATATGGTTACCTAACTGAGTTATGTGGCTTGAGATTTGCCCAAGCAGACATGTGGTCCCCATTATCAGATAACCCAGCACAAGGATCCTTGACCATCCCCTCCTAGGCCTCCGGCCCAGCTCTGCCACAAAGTGTGACTTCTAACTCTGTCACACTCATCATCTTCCATCCAGGGGCCCCCATTTCCCTAGTATTCTGGGGCTCATGTCAATCTTCTGCCTTACTTTGCAGAATTCTCAAAAAGCTCCAATAAAATTCTGGCCAATGAAGAGACTCTAGCCCTCCTCCAGAGTCATGAGAGCCATTGTTTATCCAGCCCTCTGTCCACCCCCCTTGCTCTGCTTGTTTTCTCCTACCCCAGAGCTGTGTCTCCCTTTCTAATACGTAGCCTTCATTCCACCAGTTCTCTGCACCTCAGAGCATGAGCTCTAATGCCAAATAGGCATGACTCCAGTCTAGTCTGACTGCATGAGGTCTCTGGAGCTTTGGACCACTTAAACTCCCTGAGCTGATTTTGCAGCTGAGCAAAATAGTGACAATATGGCAATGTGACATTGTCAATATACATCATTAATATGGTAACCCTGAACTCACATAGTGGTTAGCTGTGTCTGACAGGACAGACAGGGTCTGTAGAACGCTGGATTCAGCACCTCAATGTATCAAGGGGTTGTGCATCTGAGAGCTCCCTCGCCCATCTTTCTCATCAGGGCACACTGCCTGGAAAGCTCAGCAGTCTGTCTGCTCCCAGTAATGCAGATGCAGGTAGTCATTAACTCCATTGCTATCTTATGCACCCCCTGTGTTCTGCCCAGATTCTACCTTCGAGTCTCTGCCCAAACCACTGAAGGCATACCAGTCCAACCACTAGCAAAGAACAAACCTCACCTTCTTGAAGTAATCAGCAAGGTTGTCGGGGTTCCAGGCCAAGACCTCTGAACGAAAGGGCACATTCCTCAGGGCCATGGCCACAGCTTTGGGAGACACTCACAAACTAGACAGAGGTGCTGCAGCCATGAACAGAAAAGAATCACAGATCCAGGGCTTGGAGATGTCCTTGGTCCTTCTAATTCCCAGCTACCGTCAGGAACATACTTGTTGGAACGGAGGTCTTTTCTGCTGTAGGGAGATCCCAGAAAGCAACGGCTTCCTCTGCGAACAAATATGGTTTCTTCTCAGAAAACGACTCAGCTAGTTTCCTTTACCACTTCCTCTGCTGGCTTCTAAATAAGTAAACAAGGAAGGCCAGCTCTGGGGGCTTGAAATGCAGAGAGAGATGGGGTTGGTAATTCCCCACTGGCCCAGTCACCCCAGCCTAGTGGGAGGGGCAATGAAGGGGACTTAAGTTCCAGTGGCAGCTCAAGTATTTTTCCATTAAGATTCTGGACACCCAAAGTTCTTCACCATATTCCTGATTGGTTGTGTCTTTGCAGATAAAAATCTATGCTGATGGTTCCCTAAAATTATCTATAATCTCAACCCATTAGTGAACTATGAGGGAAGGACTATGGCCTCTTAATGCTGTCCAACCTTCTTTCCCACCTGCTTGCTTCTATGCAAAGTCGGGATGGCCGGGCATGGTGGCACACGCCTTTAATCTCAGGACTCAGAGGCAGAGGCAGGGGGATCTCTATAAGATTGAGGCCAGCCTGGTCTACATGGCAAGTTCCAGGCCAGCTGGGGCTACAGGGAGACCCGGTGTCACGGGGTCAAAAAAAACAAAAAAAAAAAAAAAAAAAAAAAAAAAAAAAGATTAGGATACCTTCAACATTCTCTCAAGTCATTATGTCATTATGATGGGCAGGTCTGTGGTGATGGAGGCAGCCAGGCACCCAGTAACTACAGTGCTGAGGACCAGGCTCCGTTCCTGATGTGTTTCTATGCTGTAATCTTGGGCACAGACAATCTAGATAGCCAGTTTCCCTAGCTGTAAAGCAGAAAAAGAGAAGAATTATACGAATAAAACTTTGGTGCATTTTACTAGGCCTACAGAAGAGCAAACAATTAAAGGAAAATCAGAGGTTGTTACTGATGGTGCTCTGTATTCGTCTCACCTGCCTCGCCTTCATTCTACTCACTATTGTGTCTTCCACACATTCCATTTGTTATTGGTTCTACCATGTAGTCTAGTCAAAGAGTGCGTTCCCTGGAGATAGGAGATGAGAAGCTGTTTGTTCCTTCTTCCTTTTCAGACTCTGACCTCATAGACTGAACAGATCATCAACAGAGAGTGAATCCTGTGACTAAAGCCAAATGTGTTGATGCAACATGGCAGCCTGTAAGCAGAGGTTAGCCAGTTCTCTATATGCATATGCACAGCTAAGCATGTACACACACACACACACACACACGCACGCACGCACGCGCGCACACACACACACACACACACACACAAACACACACCGACCATAGCCATCTGTTCCAATGTTTGAATGACACTCAGTTGATATCTGGGGTGTACTTCCTGAAGGTTTTTCAAGGGTAGCTTTGGCCATACATAATTTCTATCTGATAAACAATACATGGAGCTTTGCTGCAGCTCGTACCTGTCTCCCTACTTCTTATAAGCTTAAAGGAGATACATACGTAGTACCAGCCCCAGCCCCTGGAAAGTGGTTCATAATGGTGATCTGCTGGAGGCACCAACGTAGGTAGCCTAGATCAAGTGCTCTTTATGGGATGCTGTGTCTAAGACTGCTGAACAATTGATCATGCTCTATAGAATATTGCCCTGCTGCTCAAAAGGTCCAGCTGATGAGAGCCACCTCTTCATCTTGAGTTGGAAGCAAAGCAGCCATTTGGAAACAGAGAAATCATTTTCAAGTAGAGTAATCCAAGAGGGCTTCATGGAATGAGCTAGGATTTAAGTAGGGAATTGGAGGATGGAGTAGATAGGTGAGAATTCTGGACCTCAGTCAGTCAGTCAGTCAATCAATCTCTCTCTAAACAGAGAACTTCTGTGGAAAGGAACATTCCAGAGCAACCTTAAAGATAGTGTTTTTTCTTTTTCTTTTTTTGGTTATTATTGTTTTTCTAATCATGCTTACCCGATTCAGGATTAAAAATGGAGAAAAGCAGAAGTTAGAATAAAGTTACTGTTAAATGTTATACTCTTTTGGAAAAATAATCCAATAAATGTGGCCAAGATGAACAGTCCAAGAAATGTGGCTCAGTGACAAGGTAGCCACAGTGGTTCAGAAACCAGGACAATGCCAATGAAGATAACAAAGACACAATGCCAGGAGAAAGCCACTCCTGTGTGCCAGAGGGTGTGATACAAACTTTACACCCAGGGCTGGAGAAATGGCTCAGCAGAGGACCTGGGTTTGGTTCCCAGCACCCACATGGTGGTTAACAGCCATCAGTAGCTCCAGTTCTGGGGGATCTGATGCCCTCCTCTGGCCTCTGTGGGCAATGAACACATGTCAGGCACACATGTAAGCAAAACATTCATATACATAAAAAATAACTCTACAGCAACCATCTCCCTGTGGTTGACACAATTATTACTTCTACTTTACAGACAATAGTACTGTGGTCAGAGAGAAGATATTGGCCTGCTTTCTACTACCCGCAAGAATGCTATGCATCCAGGTCTTCTCCAGAGTACAGATGAGTCCAGAGCTGCTATCCCTTGCCATTTGCCTCCTCAAGGTCCTGAGATGCTTTGCACAATGCCCAGAGTGAAGTCAGGATTCAAACCAGGTCTGTCTCCAGAGCCTGTGCAGGGTCCTCTATTTTTGTGGAGCACGGTTTGTGGTCTGCATCCCATGGAGGGCACTGATCCGAAATGTCTTCCACAGTGGGCAGGAGGCAGGTATCTGGTGTCTCTTCTGTTGGACCACAGGCTCATCCCTCAGAGAGAGCAGCTAGGTGGGCAAGAATCAGCAAGTGATGCAAGGAGCTTGTTGCTTCAGGCCTGGAGACTTTCCTGTTCCCCAGCCCTGGGTGATTTCCCAACAATTGTATGTTTCACATTTCCTGTGTCTGGTCGAAGTGTTCTAGAAGCTCCAAAGGCAGAGTATCTCCTAAGAAAGGCTCTTGGGACACCGAGAGGATCAGTGTGACCCTATGATAGTCAACTCATTTGATCTAGACTTAGTATCCTAGCATGTGAAATGGGCAAACCCCTGTGTATATCCAATCGGCAGGGATATCAAGATGAGACTGTTTCAAGGTGTGCTGTTGCTGTTGCCAGGCAGCAAGTGGGGACCAGTTTAGGTACAGCATTTGAAGAAATGAGCGAGCCCCTTGTAATGAGGACACCATGTTCCATCCCACCTCTCTCTCTTCCTCAACCAGGTAGAGAAACCCAAAGCTTATGAAGGAGAAAGCTGGAAAGTTAGCTAAGGTAGAAAACTGGTTCCAGAATCTTCAATAAGTAACAAAATCTGTCGCTGTTCAAGTTCCTTATATAAAGTGGTGTAAGTCTTGCACATAATCTATGCACACCTCATGTATTTTATTTTTTAATATTTTATTATTTTTATTTTATGTGTATGAGTGTACTGCCTGCATGTATGTGAGTGCACCCATGTCGTGCAATGCCCACGGAGGTCAGAAAAGAGTGTTGGATTCCCTAGAATTGGAGTTATGGATGGTTGTTAGCCACCTTGTGGGTGCTGGGAACTGAACCTGTGTCTTCTGCAAGAGCAGCCGGTGCTCTTAACTGCTGAGCCATCTCTCCAGTCCCAACACCTCATGTCTTTTAAACCAACTGTAGATGACTACAAATACCTAACCAAAGCAAATGTAATGTGTGTGGCTGTGATACTATATTGTCTAGGGAGTAATGACAAAGAAATTATCCACAGGCTGGGGAGATGGCTCAGTGGTTAAGAGCACTGGCTACTCTCGCAGAGAACCTGGGTTCAGTTCCCAGCACCCAGGTGGCAACCAACAATTGTCAGTAACTCCAGTTCTAGGGGAACAAACACCCCATTCTGGCCTCTATGGGCATTGCACATACATGGTGTACTTACATGCAGGCACAGCACTCAAACACATAAAATAGAAATTAATTAATTAAAAATAAAGTATCCATGTTCAGTGCAGATCCATTTTTTAAAACTATTTCTCCTGCTGGGCATGGTGGTGCACGCCTTTAATCCCAGCACTTGGGAGGCAGAGGCAGGCATATCCTTGTGAGAATGAGGCCAGCCTGGTTCACATAGTGACTTCTAGGCAGTCTGGGACTAGGGAGACCCTGTGGGGAAAAAAAGTAACTAAAATATTCCCTATCTGTTGTTGGTTGAACACATGGGTATAGAACTCACAAACATGGAAGACCAACCATATGCTTCAAGGCCAGACAAGAACATCACAAGATCAGCATTGTGACAATGCACAGCAACAGGAGCTCTGAGAACAGGACCTACTGAGGAGATGCTGTGGACACGAAGGCAATACTTTCAGGGAGTGCTATGTCTGACTGTTAGAACCTAGGGGCCAACAGTGGATATGGAAGAAAATTAAAGCCCAGAATGGGAGTCCACCCTATCTACTCCCTCCCCACAATCCACTAAGTCTAGACATGCAATTCTCTCCCTTTTCCTCCAACCCACAGCGGAATCACAGGTGGGAGGAAATAGCCACTTTTCTCGCTGCCTAATTTTAGAGATGAATAAAAAATATAATTCATTAGTAGAGACTTGGGAGTCACAGCTTCTGTGTGCAGTTGTGAAGGAAGGACCCTGGGGAGTTGTCACATAAGGACCAGGGAAGAGTGAAAAGAATGGACTTCATAGGGGAGAAAACATTGACTTTTGAGAACAAGGGCCTAAGGGAAGTTCCCCCCACCATACTTTGAGGCAGGCAGTGGAGATGGCACCCGAGTGTGGAGTTGTTGTGGATGGCAAAGGGTCATAGGCAGGTTCAGCAGAGGGAAGCCAGGAAGGACCCTGCACAGTGCCTGCTAGCCTGCACTAACACACAGAACAGAGAGCCTGTCCCAACAAGTACAAGGCCCAGGGGACCGGACTCCAGGGAGACTTCCCCATGGAGAGGCCCAGTGCTTCTCAGCCTCCAGGGGGCTGCCACGTAGGAGGTGGTGGGAGGGGTGTGTGTTGCTCCATCCCAGCCCTTCTGCAGACCACATTCACTGAGAGCCCCCTCCCACCCAGCCTAGACACTGTCCTCACCTCCCCCATCCACGGATAATGCAGGGGGAAAACGTGAGTAAGCTTCTCTGAGCAAGATTAATAGTAACATTTTCCACTTCCCCATGGCTGACAATTTCATGTCTTAATTTTTTCTTAATCTCCTCACTTTCATTCTCTTGCTTTCCTGTTCAGCAGAGGTACCTCAGAAGTTCAAAGGTAAATGGGAGGAAGTGCTTATTTGGACTTCCTGTCAAAACTCCCTTATTCTCTGCTCTATTTCTCATGTTGGCAGCCTGAACTTAGATAGAGCTGCTGCAGAGAGAAACTCCATAAATGCCAGGAAGGGTGGGTGAGTGTGGCAGGGGCAGGAGCAAGAAAAGCAGGCTTCTTGGCTTCAGAGAAGAGAAACCTTGTTTTCCTCCGTGGGCAAGCTGGCGCAGGGCAGAGTTGGGGGAGGTGAATGAGCTGCAAGAATGAAAAGCAAAAAGAATTGACTACCAGTCAGCCAAGTACCTATTTCATCTGCCTCTCCATGAGGAAAGGGTGTGAGCCCGGGACGTGCATAGAGGCCCCTAAGATGAAAGAGTTGGGCTAACAAGAATAGCAAGATTGGGGGTTGGTGTTGGTTTGAGGTGAGGTTGATACACCCAGAAAGTACATAATGGTCTATCAACCCTTCCTGGGGCCTCTAGGGTCTGGGGAGAAGAAATTCTGGGTCTTTTA